TGCAGGGGGGTGGGAAGGCAAAAACTCAAAGCTATTCAGTCTTGCTAGGGTTCAGCTGAAGCGTGCTCTTCCCCATCCAAGCCCCCCACAGTTTCCAGATACTGGGAAAGAATCTTGTCAGCATCATTTGGTCAACCAGGGGTAGAGATGTATAGCTGAGTATCATCTGCATATTGATGATACTTAACCTCATGAAAACAAGATGACCTTACCCAGCAGCTTCATGTAGATCTTAAATAAGCATGGGGAGAAAGTAGAGCCTTGAGGAACCTAAAAAACCAGGGGCTTAGGGCTGGATCTCTCTTCCCTTCCAACACCAACCAGAACCACCCTCGGTGGAAGGAGGAGAACCACCACAACACCATACCCCACATTCTTAATCTCCTAAGCCAGTCCAGAAGGATACCATGTTCAATTATATTGAAGGCTGAGAAATCAAGGAGAATCACTATGGATGAACCAACATTAACCCAGTTCTGCCACAGATCATCACAGATGTGATCAAGTGCAATCAAGTACTGTCCCAGTACTATACCCAGATCTGAAGCCCAACTGAAAAGAATCTAGAAGATCCATTTCCTCCAGGACCCTCTAAAGTTGTCACCCAACCACCTTCTCAATATCTTTCCTTAGAAAAGAAGAATGAAACACAGTCAGCTTCAGCAATAGCTTCCTGAGGAGAGGGAGGACTACCACCTCCTTAAGTGCTGACAGGACCACCCCCTCATTCAAGAATGAATTTACAACTGCCTGAATCCAATCACATGTTGTCTTTCAGGAGAACCTGACCAACCAGTTGGACCATGGATCTAATATGTGGCTACAATTACAGCCCCAAGGAGCCTGGCCACTGCTTATGTTTTTATGATATCCTTGGGCAGGGGAGAGCCCGCACAGGCACAATCCAATCCAAGGCCATCATTGTCCTCTTATTCCAAGCAGCAACTAAGGCCTCAGTAGAACTCTGCATAGACCTTCAGGAACAACCCCAAGTTCCCTCTGAAATCCAACAGGGTCCCTCAAGTGCCTGGGCAGACCAATCAAACAGGACCTTCCTTCCTCTGGTGGGGAGAAGCTGCAGAGAACTCCAAGGCTTTCTAAGAATGCTCTGACCAAGGCAAGGGACCGCCTTACTCTAAATGATCAACCGACAGGAGTAGAGGAGGAACTCAGTTATGTGCAGATTTCAGAAGGAAGTGTGGACTGAGGATTATCCATTAAAACTCCTCCTCAAATTTGGTGCTTTATAGATGTGTTAGATTATAAATCCCATAATGCCCAGTTGGCATTAGCTAACATAGGTTCTTGTCTAACATACCTGCAGGGCATTAGGTCTTGGGAAGGCTTCACTGAAGATGCATTTTTATTTTTAATTACTACATTGAAATGTTACATTTCAATCTGCCCAACTCAACCATCTTAGGAGAGCCTGCTTGTGACTCCCCATTTTTGTGAGATACAGAGAGTGGAGGTTCATAGGTATGACTTCTCTATGGATATAACTACACTTTGGAATAGTTTCCCTCCAGAAATTAAATCTGCCTCCACTGTATTTCCTTTCTGTAAGTTCAACAACTAATAGAGCTATTTCAGAGACGGATGAGCTGGTGCTATCAGATTGAGCGAGTAATGGTTACCATGGAAGTTTTATTGCCTTTGTATCAGTGTATACGAAGTGTACAAGAGTCTCTTTTGATTGTGGCTTTCAACAAAGAAACAAACAAATAAATTTGTAACCCACTCTTCTTCAGCCTGTTCTATTCAAGTTCTATTTTAACTTTGCAATGATCCAATGCAGCAGGATAGAGGAGATTAAGCAAGGTTGGTCAGACCCCCATTTTGAGCACTGTGGGCATCACATTTTAAGAGGGATTGAGAGATATTGGAACAGTTTCAGAGAAGGGCAAGAAGAATCATCAGGGGACTGAAAACCAAGTCTTAAGAAAGAGACGGAAGGAGTTTGATATGTTTAGCCTTAAGAAAAGAGGAGTGAGGTGAAACACAATAGCCTTCTTCAAATTCTTGAAAGATTGTCACAGAGAAGAAAGCTGAGACCTGTTCTCCATCATGCCAGAGTGCAGGACATGGAATAATGAATACAAGTTAGAAAAAACATCCAAAGGGAAAGATGATGGAATGTTCAGGCAGAGGCTAGACAATCATCTGCCTGGAATGCTTTAATGATTCCTGCACTGAGCAGAGGTTTAGAGTAGATGGCCTAAACAGCCCATTCAGTGCTAAGTTTCTATAATAACCTTCCACCCTTCTGAAGCTTTGTTCCCCTACGTCTCAGCAGACATGACGGCAGTCAAGGATTCTGGGAATTGTACTCCAAAAACTTTTAAAGGACCCCAGATAATTTTGCTTAATCTAAAATAGTCATTTACACTAGACCACCTGAAATTTTGTCTGCTTTCCCCATGTCTTAAACTAATTCAGTTCTTTAATCATTATGGATGCTGCTATCCTGCCAAAGTTTTCATAACCCAAACCCTCAGAAGTGTCCTCAGGGCAACTGACACCCTCCTGCTGTCAGATGAAGGTCCACAAAAACCAAGGTCCAGCTAGTCACCCTTCCCATCCTCCTCCTTAATGTATGCTCTGTTTGTTCTGCGGCTAAGCCATCGCTCTGTGGAGGTGCAGCATAGCTGCCACTAGGCTCTGTTAAAAAGCCTGGTGAAACGATAGTGTACCACCCTCACAGCTGAATCCCTGCAAGGTGGAGGGAAACTAAGAGTCTGGCAAATCACTTGGCCACAAGCTTCAACGTTCTTAAGGCAAAACCACTTCACTTAAAACAAGTCCTCCACCCTGTGTCTGCACTAGAAGTCAATTGACTCAACGGCCCAGCGCAGATGGCAGGATGGGATCATCAGCTGGTATCTAGGAATGGTACAATGCTGCACATGGAGGTATCCTGTTCACATCTACTGCTTTATACCCTTTAACTTCCACCCGCTCTAGTATTGTTTGGATTCAGGAGGATCCAGAGACAGTCCCATAACTAAATTTAACATAGAACTCTCAGCAGCAGTATATTTGAAGAAGAATCATATTTCCTGTCAAAAGAATCAAGGAAAAAAATAACAACAGAATGGAATCAGAGCTTGGATGATGCTCTGTTCTCGAAAGTGATGGACAACCAGGGTGGAAGATACCTGAGAACAATAACTGTAAGTGCATTGCTCTAAAATGGTTTGAAGAGTTCCTAAAGTTATAATCCAATAAACACCTAGAGTTAGAACCAAACCAGAGTATATACTTTATATACATTTATTTTTACTTTAAAATAGTCATAGAGAATGGAGGAAGGGGCATCAGAAACACGGCATATAAATAAATTAAAATTCATTTTACACCTGGTGGAACAATCCTGATAAAATGTTCTCCTGTTACCCTTCCTCCAACCACCCAAAAAAGCCTGCTGTTTCTCCTCCTTGAGGAAAGCTGCCGTGGCAACTGCAGGGAGTGCTCTGGAGCACAGTAGAAAGAAAATCGTTAAACCTTCTCTCTCCAGGTACTGGGTAGATTTAGGCATAGTTCTGACAAAATTAAGCCATCTGGTGTTTCACCATTTCCCCCCTGACTATTGTATCCTAATCTGACGTACCATAATACAGTTTCCTTTCTCTTTGTCTTGAAATCTGTTTGTGGACTTTTCTGTTTAAAGTTATCTGAAGATTAGAGGTCTCTTTCAAAGTGTTCCAGATACAGGAAGCTAAACCTTCAGAACATGCAAATCAACTTTGCCTGTAAGATGTACTTGGCTGCTTATATATGGGTGTGAACCCAGAAGGAACTCAAAAATCTATTAATCTATTCCTTCTTTAAATCTTTCCCATTTGTTTTACGAAGAGTTTGCAAACCACCAGTCTCATATTTGTGTGTGTGTGTGTGTGTGTGTGTGTGTGTGATCTGCTACAAGCTTATCCTACCTTATTCATCCACTTCCTTTATCAGGACTCTTTTGTTTTTGTGCTTAACTGAAGCCCCCCTGCCCCCCATCCTTCTGTAATGCTAAGGGATAGAAGGATGGATGGATAGATGAATGGGAAGGTAGGTAGGTAGGTAGATAAGATGATAGATTCTTTCCCAGTCTGCATGGCTATCAGATGACAGGAGAAAGCCTGAGTATAACAGAAGAGAAAGTGGAGGGCAGCCCGCTGAGAAAAACCACTTTAACTGAATGCAGAATTATATACAGTAGTTGTTTTTATTCCATCAGATATCCATATTACAGAAACATCCAATATTTGCTGAATGTCAACATCATATTAACAAAACGAGATTAATTTTGACTATTGGAGTCATGCTGTTCAATATTGTACATTGGAGAGGTGGGTGGCATACAAATTTAATAATAAATAAATAAATAAATACATATTCTCCACAGTTCCTATATTAATGATAACAGACAGATAGATGGACACACAGATAGACAAATCAATGGCAAATGGTGACGACAGAAAAAGGAAAGTCACAGGAGGCTGAGAAGCAATAGGGCTCACTCACCTGCAGAACTCCAAATTGTGACCATAAGATTAGCAAATATTATTTTCAAAACTGGACTACGAACCTGCCTATTTTGTATCTGATCTATAAAATACAGGGGAGATTGTTGTAGTCTCATTTCAGGTCCTTTGCTTTCAGCTGGCCTGAGATGACCTTATAGGTCTGAACAGGATTTTAATACACTGCTACTAGCCTGTTAAATGTGCCACTGGGCTATTTCTTTGTCCATTTCCACTCTTCCTTCTCTGAATATTAACAGAAAGAGTAAACATCACAGCTGGCCCTGCAAAAACTTAAATTTAGAATATTCCTTTTTGTGTGTTTCCATGCCTTTCTCTTAGGTCATGCTGCAGGTCAGCAAAGGCACGTACCTTTCCCCACTGCAGCCTGCAGCTGCTTGTTTCCTGTGCATAAACTGGCTGTAACTGAGGGTGGCTTAAAAAAAAACCTTTGGTGGATCTCAAACCCTTCCTTCCCTTTGCCCACAGGGATGGCCAGGAGCTCTGTGTGGACTGCAAGTAACGAGGCCCGTGATTGGCGCGTTCTCCTGCTTCTCTTCCCTTCCCTTCCCTCCTGGGCCAGGACACAAGGGCCAACAGCTTTCCTTCTGGTGGGTGCGTCATCTGAGGACTGGCAGAAGAAGCAACGAGGGTTTTACCGTTCTTTCTGCCACTTGAACTGGAAGGGGAAACTGGACAGAACTCTTGTCAAGTTCACTCAGTCAAAAGACAAAAACAAAGAATGGGCCAGTTCCATGGTTGAGGCTGTCAAAAGAAAAATGAAGAAATGGCCACACCTCACCATTCCACTACTGAACCAGTAAAAGCCAAACAAACAAACACAGAAATCAAAGGTCCAGCCTTTCATGGTAGGCAATGCAGTGGCCCAGGATGAAATGGCCACTGAAGGCAGAGAATGGGAATGAGGAATACAAGAGCATAATATAAAAACATAACAGACCAAGGAAGGTGATAAACCTCTTCCCCTACTGTTGGGAGCTACCATAAGGTGACAGTGGAGAGACCACACGATGGCTTAGATAACACAGCGCCTAGTCCCAAGGCCTGTGTCCACGCTCCCAATTCCAGGGGCAATGCCAGGGCCTTTTATCAAAGTATGGCACTGCAATC